GAGAGGGCTGGCATTGAGTGGCGGACAGAAGGCTAGGCTGAGTCTGGCCCGGGCTCTGTACCACTCGGCAGACATCTACCTCTTGGACGACCCCTTGAGTGCTGTCGACACACGTGTGGCCAAACATCTCTTCCAGAAGTATAGCTTATTAACTAAAAGACAAATAACTCAATGCTTTTATTGTTAATTAGATGTTGTGTTGAGTACTTGAAGGAAAAGGCGACGATTTTAGTGACGCATAGCATTCAGTTTCTCAAAGACGCGCATCAAATACTTGTGCTCAACGACGGCGAGTGTGTGGCCATCGGGTCCTACAGTCAGCTCAAAGAGCGCGGCATTGACCTCATGGCATATCAGAGACAAACCGATGGACCAAATGATAGGAGAGCTGTGAAAAGGAAAACATCTGTCACACCATCGATAGTCTCATGTCTTAGTGAGGGATCGGAAGTGACGGACGGTTGGGAACCGATAGAAGCGGACGAACAGGAAGTGAAGGCCGAACTTAAAATGATTGGATCCGTTGAGTCCAGTGTTTACATGGATTACATTAAGGCTGGCGCCGGACCTCTGCTCATAACTCTAACCGCTTTGTTTACAATATCATCACAAGTTCTGACTCAAGGAAGCGATTATTGGTTGAGCTTATGGTCAGTGATTTAATTATTATCAAAAAAGTCTTAATTTAATTAAACTCAATATATTAGGACCAATCAAATTAGTGAAATCCCCGAAGAAGTGGATCAGATATTCAATATATTAATCTATACGAGTATAACCTGTGGTCTGTTTGTGTCGGCCCTGTTGTCCACCACTTGTTTCTACATAATGTGTATGAGATCTTCGGTTAATCTCTATAACAGAATATTCTGTGCGTTATTGCGATCACCGATACATGTGTTCGAGAGCTCACCCATTGGTAACACTCTTTACATTCTTTGCTATCAATTCACTGATAATTAATTTATAAATAATTTTTAGGACAAATTCTAAATAGATTTACAAAAGACACGGGAATTGTGGACGAAGTGTTGCCATCGGTTGCATTTGACTTTATTATTGTAATGAATCATTAGTAATAATTATAAATAAAATTAATCACCACTTTATATATTGTCATAGAATACATGTTTAATTATTGGAAGTTTAATATTAAATGCAATTATCGATTGGTTCCTTATATTTCCGGCAATCCTTTTGTTAATATTAGTTGGAATATTTTGTCGCTATTTTTATATCAGAGCCGCGAGGGATATAAAGCGTTTGGAAGCGTTATGTATGTATTATTAATGTATGCGTTATGTATGATATTTAATATATATCATCATTGATTATGTTACTAAAATTGTAATTTATCGTTCATTTAATGCGTAGCCCGGAGTCCGGTGTACTCTCACGTGAACACAACGCTGTGTGGGCTGACATCGATCCGTGCGTTTGGCGCACAGCATATGTTTGAGCGTCAGTTTGAAGTCCACCAAAACGACAACACCTCTACTTTTTTCTTATTCATCTGCACTTCACGAGCACTCGGAGTACTAATGGACACCATTTGCATATTATATCTCATTGCTGTTATCGCTTATATTATGACCAATACTAACAGTATGTTTACAAATATTAAATTTTATCTCAAATTTTATTATATTTTATTGTTTAAAAGGTATTCCCGGAGGAAATGCTGGACTTTTGTTAACTTCAAGTATAAGTATTTTATATTATAAATATTAATTGTTATTAAAGTTTAATTTTATTATATATGAAGCATTATCGCTAACGGGTCTGATTCAATATGCTATCAAATGCTCGGCCGATACGGAGTCCTATATGACTTCCGTCGAGCGACTGCTCGAATACACGGCTATTAAACCCGAGGCAGAGCTCGAGTCCACTCCCGATCGGAAACCGCCCAAAAATTGGCCACAAATGGGAGAAATAGTGTTCAAAGATATGAGTCTTCAATACAACGAATCGCCGCATAAAGTGCTCAAAGATATCAAC